TCAATCACCAGCATCTTGGAAGATATTATTAATTGTGTATGTGTTTGGTTTTACTGTATTTTTACTGTATTTTTATACTGTTTTTATTGTATTTTAGTTAATATTTATTTGTTGTTTTATTGTGAACCACTCAGAGTCACTTCTTCATGAGATGGGGTATCTAAATTCAAAAAATGAATGAATGAATGAATGAATGAATGAATGAATGAATGAATGAAAAACATATATGCAACACAAATAACATACATACTAGGCTTCTGAATGCTTCAAAAATGATTCAGAAGATGTATTTTGGATCTCCTGCATATGTGAGCTTAGCAACTCACCAGGGGCCTCTGTGTGTGTGTGTGTGTGTGAGTGAGATTTATATCTTACTGATATTTAGCTAAAGAATATAAAAGAACGAATAGCTTGAGGCAAGTCCTTGGGTTAATAAAATACTTTGTCAGCTCAGTTGAATAGAGGGAGGATCAGCAATACATCTGCTATTTTTGCTCCTGATCCTGATGACTGTATATTAATCTGGTTATTGTATCTGGGCAACCTGTGGTTTTCGCTAAATTTAAAAACATGCCATCCATACCTCTTCTAGGAGACTATATCCCTTCCCAGTTATTTTGATGGGAGTGGGGAACAGAGGAAGAAGACAGTAGTGTCAGTAAGATGAAGGAGAGAAAGTGGTAACTTTACAGACCATGGAATGAACATACGGGCATTAGTAGAGACTGTACTGAAACCAGATGAACAAATAAAGGTTTAGAAACAGAAGGTAGAAATGAAGAGGTTTCTCCTTCAGTGTCTCTCCAACTGAAAAAAACAGAATTCTGAATTCCAGTGTTGTTTTGTTGCTGATTTTAGAAGATGTTTTAATATGAATTGTTAGGGGTTTTTTTTCAATAGCTTTGTAGATATCTTTGTCATAACAATATTGTTTGCCTTATTCTCCAGTGTCAGTTATTTCATTGAAGGAATTCATTGTGACAAAACAATAACAATAAATGTGTCAGCTGTGAGATCTGAAGTTTTCAGACCTTTCAGAAATGAAAGGAAGCTCAGCCAGAGTCTATGCAGCATTTCTGTTTCTTTTTATTTGATACTAATGAACCATTAGAAAAGGACAGTCAGACTATTAAATTTTTATTTCTATTCATTTGTTTGATCAATTGATTGCTATTTTACCTTTCCTTCAAGAGCTCAAGCAGCAATAAAAATACCGGTACTACTACTACTACTTACAACTACCTCTACCATTACTAATAATAGAATCATCCAGAAGAAAAAAAAAACATCTAATTGAACAATAACAAAACACCTTTAGATCATATTCAAATATTTTGAAATTCTGTATTTTAGACAATTTCTTGTCTAACAAAAAACAATTTTTAAAGAGAGGGTAAAGATAAAAATAAATAACAATAATAACAATAACAATGAAATAATTGTTAATTGATCTTTAAAATTGTTTTGCTAATTTTTCAGACAATGCTATTTCCCACACTTTCAAATACTGCTGAGGCAAAGAACGATTAGAGATGTACACAAAATGGGTAACAAGTTTTGTTCTGAGCTTGAAGCAATATACCTTCACTTGCCACGTTTTTGAGAATTCCATGTTTCCATGCAATAAAATTCAAAACAGTTTGAGTGTTCCACCACACAGAATAATGGAAACAAGTCCTGTTACTCTATTTTTGTTGTTGCTTGTTTAGTTCTAAGAACTACGAAAGCACATGGAAAGTACTATTACTTAACTTGCCCAAAAATTAGCCAAAGTGATTAAAGAAAACCATAAACAGTTTTAAATTCCCCTAGCAACAATGAGAGCAACTATTAAGGGCCCTCTTGCAACCTGATCTGCTTTGACAAATAGCCACCAAACAGCACACAAAAAAGAAGCAACAGTCGTAGACGCATCACAATAATACAGCCCGGGAAAAACATAAAGCAGCCCCCCAATCCTCATTCGTTGTTAGCTTTGGGCTTCTTCTTTACACACATGCATAGCACGCCCTTTGTCCACCTTGTACCAAAGAAAGCATCTCTCAACAAAGAGCCCAAGTAAACACAACCCAAGAAAGCACAACGCATAGGGACAACAACATTACATTAAATCTCGTGAACTGTAACTTCTCTTTAGCAAGGAATTTAAAAACAGCATTAAGCTTACCTACCAGGCTAATAACAGTCTTTTTCTTTTAGGATGATGGCTTTGTCCTTAACTAACTCTCCATCATCCTCACTTGTCTTCAGTGGCACCTGTGATGAAATGGTGCTGGCTATTTTATTAGCTAACACAACATCACCGCACTCTGAATTTTGTAAAAAGCCACAACAAGCCAATTGAGAGATGCCGGAGTGACGTTGAAGCAAGCAGGAGACAAAATGGGGTGTGGGTATTTTGTTTCATAGTCAAGACTTAACTCTGGAATGTGGGATGTTTGGTCATATTTACAGTGTTTTAAATCTTGGAAGAAATCATGGTAAACTAATGGTGGGATTAATTGCCAAGGATTGTTGAGCTTTCCAATTTCTTCAAATTTCAAACCAAAATTAAGAATGTAATGGGCATTGCCACACAAGGCGGTAATATACACCAATACCCTCTGCCCCAAAAAAAGAATCTAGCAAAAGTTTAAATGTTGTAATGTAATTTTAAAGAGGGAATGAATTGTTGTTATGGTCAACAGTTGACAGCTTTCCAAAGTAAATATGAAGGGAATTTTATGACAAACAGTTCACTATATTTAGATCAGAAGTTCTCTTCCCATGATTTTTTGAGAGAACCTACTATATGTGCTATGTGTTTGATGATGATGATGATGATGATGATGATGATGTCTTATTGAAGAGGCTCATTTGATTTTAAATGGATATATAGTTTTTTTTCCTGACATTTTGATTGGTTTGACAAGATGTAATGAGTTTAAATAGGTACATATTCAAAAGCAAGGTGGAACTTGTAAACAATTATTCTGTGTGAGCTCTCTTTAGCGAATTTTTGCATACTCTTATAACAAATTAGTGTCACTCTTTGTTATTTTTTTTCCAGGATGGATAATGGCTCATATCCTGGGGGGACTGTATAGAATGGCGGGGGGGGGGGGGGGGGGGGG